TGCACAATATTAGTACAAACCCAACTTCTGCACATAGGTACAGTGTTGATCCCTTGATACAATCTTGGACAGTACATCAGCAGGAATTTCATTACCTGGCATATAGGACACCGTTACGAGTCCCTTCTGAATACATTCCCTAGCATGCTGCAACTTTAATTGCAAGTGCTTTGTGCTTTGCTTACAACCTTCAGACTTCAGCAAAGCCAAACATGCTTTGTTGTCCTGGTAAACTTGGATTGGACATTTGACAGGAATTTTTATATCTTTGCACAATTGTACTAACCATTCACAATCCTTAAGTGAATAAGACAGTGCATTCAGTTCGGCTTCACAAGTACTTAAGCTAACTGTTGTTTGCTTCTTGCATGACCAATCAAACAGACTCTGATTGTACATGTAGCAAACTCCAGACGTACTTTTCCTGTCTGTAGCGTCACTTCCAAAACTTGCATCTGCAAATATCTCAAGACCACCAGACTTCTGATTGTTAAATCTCAGTCTGTAATGCATAGTGCCTTTCAAATACCGCGCTATGCGTTTCAGAGTTTTCCAATCCTTGACACTAGGATTGTTGACTTGTCTGCTTAGCAAATTACAGCTAACAGCAATGTCTGGTCTTGAACATCTGGCAATGAAGTTTAGCTTGCCTAGCACACTCCTGTACAGTGTAGTGTCAGAAAATGCTTCTTCAGTGTCATCTACCTGATAACCTGTTGTCATCGGTGTGTCTACAGGGTTAGCATGCATCAGATTTAGTTTGCTTAACACATCAGCAATTTTCCGTGACTGGTGTACTAGAATGTTACCATCTTGATCTTTCTCTATTTCCAGAGATAGGTAGTTGTTTACCTCACCAAGATCTTTCATGTCAAAGTGCTCTTTCAGTTGAGCTAGGGCGCTATTGTACATTGCAACATCTTTCCAAAAGAATAATAAATCATCAACATAAAACAAACAGTACAGTTTCTTTTGCCCCTCCTCTTTGACAAATACACATGGATCAGCTTTCCCTTGCTGAAAACCTAGAGAAAACAATACTTCAGTGAGTTTTGTGTGCCAACACCGTGCACTTTGTTTGAGACCATAAAGGGATTTCTTCAGAGCACAAACAAATCCCTGTTTTACCTGTACGCCATCAGGTGGAAGCATATAAAGTGATTCATCTAGAGATCCGTACAGAAAAGCTGTATTAATATCATGGTGACTAATGTGTAGACTTTCCTCTGCAGCTAGCTTAAGCATAAGCCTAATGCTTTCATATCTCACTGTGGGTGAATAGGTCTCGTGATAGTCTTCACCTGGTACCTGTGCAAAACCTCTGGCTACCAATCTGGCTTTGTGTCTGACTATCTTGCCATTTTGATTTGTCTTCGCTTTGAAGACCCATTTGCTTCCAAGCAGTTTCATTCCTGGAACTACTGGAACTAGTTCCCATGTTTTGTTCCTTTCTAAGGAATCAAGCTCAGCCTTCATGGCATTTAACCATGGCTTAGCTTCCTTTGAATCCAAACCCTGGATTTCTTGGAAACTTGAAGGTTCAAATACCTTCTTGGAGCTTTTAACAGCTGTTACTGCTATCGTAGCAAACTCATCAGCAAATCTCTTTGGAGGTTTGCTTTTTGTAACTCTCTGTGACCTACGAATTATCCTTAAGTCTTCAACACTCTCCTCTTCCTTCTTAGGAGAAAAACGACCTATTGTGAACAATGGTTCCTCCAATTCTTGATCAGAGCTTTCAGAGGGTCGCATAGAGGCTTTCGCACTCTCGAAATCCTCTGAATCACCCGATTCAGTTTCAGATTCAGACTCAGAACCTTCATCAGTGGGTGTGGGTTGTTGTGGTTGCTTTTGACTATCCTCAGTCTCATCACCGTCATCAGGATAACATTGGAAAATTCCCACATTCTCCCCCCACTTTGCATTGTACTCAACACTTCTCGTGAGCTTAATTGTCTTAGAGTCAGTCATCATTATTCTGTAAGACCCTTTCTGATATCCTAGAAAGATACCATGCAATCCACGCTTGTCTAACTTGGAGTTTTGTGGTGAGCGAACCCACATGTCAGAACCAAAAATCTTCATGTGTTTGATGTATGGCTTCTTGCCAAACATCTTCTCATAGAGGTACATCCAATCGCTGAAGATAACCTGCGGTTGTAACTGTAAACAAAACACGAGAGAGATTCGGCCCAATAACTCTCTGGAAGATTGGCATCATGCAGCAAGGTTTTTAACCCTTGAAGCAGTGTCTGATTTGCCCGTTCCGCAAGTCCATTCTGCCATGGCGAGCGAGGACTAGACAAATCGTGTTGAATTCCTTTCTCAGTCAGAAAAGCTTCAAACTGCTGAGAAGTGAATTCCCCCCCGCGATCACTGAAAAGAGTCTTTATCTTCTTACCATGCACATTTTCCAACCAAGCACAGAATTCCTTAAACCTAGGAAAAGCCTCCGATTTCTGCTTGAGATTGTACACAAAAATATATCTAGAAAATGCATCAATGAGAACCATGAAGTATCTATTTCCACCCAAAGAGGGCGATAGTGGACCAACCAAATCAGCATGAACACGCACCTTCCTGCGGTGTAAAAGACACAAACAGTTTCTTATCGTTGCACATGTGGTGGGTGGCCGCTGAATCAACAACGAAGAAAGATCTAGACGTCTTCTGGACCTCTGCAACCTTTGGAGTGAAGCGTGAAACCATAGCCTTGTGCTGCGTTGTCCTAGACACCGGACCTTTGCCTTTGCCTCGGCCTTTTCCGCGCGATGAGCTTTCGCTGCGCTGCTCTGTCTTGGCCCTGGGATGTCTGCATTCCCTCTTCATATGGCCTAGACGTCCACACGCGTAGCATTTCACTGCCTTCAAAGCTTTGGCGCCATCTGGTGGTTCCACTGCACTATGGGATGACGTCTGTGAAGACTCCCCCTTGCCCATGCAGCTAGCACCCCGGCGATCTGCTTCATTTAAAATCACGGCAGTAACAAAGTCCACTGTCAGCTGAGCAGTTGGTTGCACAGCAATCTGGGTTGCAACAGACTCCCAACCTGAACCCAAAGATTGTAGTATCATGAAAGAATACACAGCCTCTGGAAAGTTGAGTCCTCTCTGTTGCAGCTCATGTCTGAGATTTTGCATCTCCATCAAATGTAAACGCACATCTCCACCTTCAGCAAGAGCCATATTATGCAGCTTGTTAAAGTAATACATAGTGGATCCAGCTTCTGTCCTTAAGTGAGCCTCTTTCAGAGCGTCCCAAACTTCTCTGGCTGAGGTCTTATCACGCAATAGACAGAGCTCTTCTGGGGATACTATCAATGTAAGAGTTCCCTTTGCTTTGGAATCCTTAGCTTCCCATGCATCTGTAACTGGAACTGGGGGGGTTCCTGTAATCACCTCAAACAAACCCTCTTTCCGCAGAATTGCCTCTGCATACTGAACCCAGTCGCTGTAATTTTCTTGTTGAGCTTAGGAATCCCACAAGCATCCTGAAGGAATGTGGGTACTCATCCAGGACCTGAGGCAGCCTGCCTCTGCATACCAGGTGGTGAGGAACAACAGTGGGAGAGGGCTATTGCCAATCCTGGCCCCACTGCACTGGCTACCAGTTAGTTTCCAGGCCCAATTCAAAGGGTTTGTTTTGTCCTATAAAGTCTTATGCAGCTCAGGACCCCAGTACCTCACAAACCACCTCTCCTCTTATGAACCAACCCAGAGCTTGTGATCATCATCTGAGGCCCTTCTTCATGTGCCCCCTCCACAAGAGGTTCAGAAGGTAGCAACGTGTGGTCTGACTTTATCGACTGCATCCGTCTAAAAGAGCATAAAAGGTCTCCGCCACCAGTCTGTATGAAATTGTGGATTATGTGACTTTCATTTTCCTCTTTCTCAGCATTTCCTCATTGTTTGCCTGGTTGTTTCTGCCATCCTTTCAACATACCTGGAAAGACATAACAAAGAGAAACAAGGCGAGCCTCTTATAGTTAGAGAATTGATTGTGGTTTGCTTTACCTTCTCATTCTTGCCAGATGTTCTGTCTTTGTTTCTCCTTGGGCTTCTTATTTTCCTTTCCCCCTGTTTAATGTCATGGTTTCTTTACTTTGTATTTGATACTGCTATGCCAAAATTCTTAATAAAAATATTGCGGGAGGGGCATGAAGAAAAAGAAAATAGCTGTGAATTAGCAAGATCTGAATCTGATAGGTAGTAAGCATGGTTTTGCATCTTATTCAGATGTTAGGATGGAAGAAGTTGAGTCATGCAAAATAACATATCCCATAAACACACCTTCTTTTCTTTTCTTTTCTTTTCTTTTCTTCTTCTACAAATGAACGTGTTGCACCAAATTCAACAGCTAGACTTTTTTAGGGTGGAAAAGGTAGAACTGTTTAATAAAACCTAATTTTACTCTTTGAGGTAACCACCAAACAAAATGATTTAACCAAGTTCCTAAGGCAAAAGAATGGAGCAGAAGTGATTGGCTGGCTGTTGTTTTCTGGCTGAGCTTTTGTGCCTTCAGCTACCTTACAGAACACCACAATTCCAAGATACAGCTTTTACCCCTACTAGGGTCATTTAATGGGGAAACAAGTAGAAAGTACAGTAACCAGGGAGAGTGGATGCTTATGAAATAACAACATGCAGGGCATACAACTACACCAAACCTCAGTGCAGAGTTTGGGGCACAGCTTGTTGGGGAAACACTCCTGTCATAGGCTACCCACCAAACAGCTCACACAAACAGTACAAACATTTCATATTTACTTGCAAAGCTGGCAATACTGTTACATTAACACATTAACATTTCCCTGTTGCAACAGTGCCCACTCAACAAACTGTGTGTGTGTGTGTGTGTGTGTGTGACAGAGAGTATCCTTAGATTTGTTTTAAATGACAGGGATAAATAATACATGCAAATTCATAGAATCATAGAATTGTAGAGTTGGAAGTAACCACAAGGGTCATCTAGTCCAACCCCCTGCAATGCAGGAATCTTTTGCCCAACATGGGGCTCAAACCCACAACCCTGAGATCAAGAGTCTCATGCTCTACCAACTCAGCTAAATTGTGCATTTTTAAATGGGCTACAGATTTTTAAAAGAAAATAAAAAAACCAAGGTATTAAAAAGTTGAACAAATGGGAAATGTGCCAAATGGTGTAGGGCTTTTCCTGACCATGTGATTTAAAACACCCACCCACACTCACTGTAAGGAAGAAAAAAAGCAGAGAGGAGAGCATAACAAGAAACTCCAAACATCCTTTCCAATTTGCTGTTTTCCTTTTTAAGGGTAAATTTCAAGGTTCCAGAGAAATTACACACCCCTACCCTCTTATGAAGAGGATGGGGGAATATGACAGGAGCTTTATCAATTTATTAATGGCTACTGCCCCCCTTTCCCCCTTTCTCATTCTATTTGAGGTTACCCTCTGACAAATTGAATGTCAATAGAAATAATTGGTGTGTGGGTCTTACTGCTGGACGTGGTATATAATAATAATAATAATAATAATAATAATAATAATAATAATAATTTATTATTTGTACCCCGCCCATCTGGCTGGGTTTCCCCAGCCACTCTGGGCGGCTTCCACAAATACCAAAAATACACTAAGATGTCACACATTAAAACCTTCCCTGAACAGGGCTGCCTGCATTGGCTTAGATGCCTTTTAAATAAAAATTAAATACTGGACAGGTTTATAGAGGATTATTAGTCATTATTGTTAAAACAGAGCTTCCAGTTTCAGAAGCAGTATACCTCTGAATACCAGCTACAATACAAACAAAACAGAATCTTTGCTTGTGGAGCATTAAGCTACTCTCTGCTGCAAACAGGGGGCTGGGCTACTTAATTCTTAAGAGTTGCCCATCCCTCGACTCCTTAAACAGCGCAATGATTCCGAAAGCTATTTCTCCAATCATCTCTCATTGGGCAGCACGTCGTCCGCGGCTTTTCCTTCCATGTGATTGGATGCAAGGGCCGCCCATCAGGCAGCTGAACCCGCCTGTCCTCTTTGCCGTAATCGGCTGAGCTCTCCGCAGAGAAGCTTGGCAAGCCCACAGAGTTAATGTAGAGTAGCTCACCATCTGGATAGCGATCTTCTGGGTTTACTTTGGAAGCCATTTTTTAAACCTTTCCCTCTCCGGAAGTGAGAGAAAACAACCGGGAAACCAAAGTGTTTTATATTTTATTTACATTTTTACCAAATCTGTGACTGGGCATCAGAATGTCCACCCCAAAAAGGGAGTAGCAAAGGCATGAATCCATGCTCTCTCTTTTTTTTAACCCAGGCCTTCATATCACCCATATCTTGGCTTGGGGGCGGGTAGGCAGTTGAAAGAGAATGACTACAACAGAACATTGTTAATACTGCATTTTGGAGATCATCCTGAGGCTTACGTTTACAACAGCCCTGCAACGTAGTCCAGTGACACTGAACTCTGCATGTAGGTTGGGCAGACGCTGAGAGAATAGCACCGTAGTCAGCTATTCATGTTGCAGGTGGGGCTGAGGTTGACTGGTTTGGTTTTCATTTTAGAATTGGTTTGGTTTAACCAAAAGTCAACCGATTTCCACCCCGACCCTTTCTAGTCCCAACCTAGCACTCAGCTGTATGCAGAAGTCCTGTGCTCTACTGACTTGCATGCAGATCCGTGACAACAAATCCTTAGAAGAAGAAAAACAAACCCTGGGACCACATTCTTCATACGAAGAAAGACGTTACTTGGAGCATGGAGTTCAGCCTTTCCTAGATATTACTTTGAGGGCGGGGGCGAGGTGTGCCTGTTGCCCAGTCGCACCCGTATTACAAAATCTTGTGTTTCTTTCCTGTGTTCTTTTCTACGGAGAGCTCTCACTTTGCTCTTAGGGAGAAATAAAAAGGTCTTTTCAAACCAGAGGTTTGGACGACGTGTCACTCTTGAATTTATTTTTTGTTTTTACTATCTCTATGGGCAAAAGCAGAGAACAAGAACCGCGAAGCTGCGGGGGGGGGGGGAAGGGGAGCCGCTCTAGGAAATACGCAAAAGGCATCTCATTAGTATTTCCTGCTTCGGCTCGGGAGAAGCTCTGCGCTTGTCGTCGCCCGTTAGCTACAACGCTGAGGAAAGCAAAGGGCGGAGGGGCACCATAGAGATGAGGAGAGCGGAAAGGCGCGCGGCGTGGTGGAAGCAAGCTCGGCTGCTCTAGGAATCCCCGAAGGAGAACTCGACGCCCGAAGTGAAATCCGGGTCACCGAACTGCATGGTCTCTCCCCCTCGGTCGGCGCGGGAAACGGGGCGGCGGGGTCTCGCGGAGTAGCCCCTCCCTCAGGAAAAGAGAGGTCAGTCCGTGACGGAGGAGGGGGGTGGATGGGGGGTGGGGAGGCTAGCAGTCGGTGGGGAGGGAGGGGAGAGGGGCTGCGTGGCGTCAAGGTGGGCTGGGGGTCCCCAAATGGGGCTTAATGCGAGCTCAGGACCATCCTTAATTCTGGGACACAAGAGGCCTGAAGAGGCCTGTTCTGTGGAACTCCCTGCCTATTGACGTCAAGCAGGCTCCGCCTCCCCGTACGCTTTTTCCAGCTCCTGCTGAAAGCCTTCGTGTTCTCGCAAGCCTAACCCAGATGCTTAGAAACTTGAGGTACTTTTCATCTGTTTTAGTGCTTTGACTTTTGTATGTTTGAAACGGAATTTTGTGGATTTTTGTAAACCGCTTTGAGGTTGGTTCCCCCCCCCTCACAATCTTAATGAAATAAATAAGGGAGCAAAATCCTTGGAAGTTGGGTTACCTCCCTCTGCACGCATCCCTAAACCAGGTTTCTTTGTTATATATAAATATATATAGCCCTGCCTGCTTTGTAAAAAGAGTTACCAGTTGAATTTCTGCCTGCCATGAATCTGCTTTACATTTCTTTGTCCCCTTTTCTCAAGGAACATAGGAAGATGTCATATACAGAGTCAGACGATTGGCCCATCTTGCTCAGTATTGTCTACATGCTGACTGGCAGTGACTTTGCAGCATTTCAGGCAGGGGGTCTCCCCCAACTCTACCTGGAGATGCCGGGGATTGAATTTGGGGCCTTCTGCTTGCAAGTGCAGATGCTCTGCCACTGAGCTGTGGCCCTTCCAGGGTTGTATGGATGATCCTTCTTCCTAACACCACTTTTTATCCTTGCAACATGCATGCAAGTTAGGCTTGACTTGAATGCTAGTTCCTAGGGTTCTGCTTGTGGCCTTCCCCAGAGGCATCTTTGTGTGGGAACACAGTGCTGGATTTGTTCTGATTCAGCGAGAGGTTTTTCCTTAATGTTCCCATGAGAGAATGTCTAATCCAAAGTCACCCAGTGAGCTTCTTCGCAGCTGCGTGATGTTTTGAACCTGGGTCCAGCCAATTGTAGTCTTAACACCACTGTACCATACTGACATTCCTATGACGGATTCCTAGGGGGTGGGTGAGGGAGGGACTTAGCCGTGCTACATGTGGCTTAAAACAACAACTGATGAATAACCACAAACCTCTAATTGAAACTAATTTACAGTTCGTTTCAAAGCCTTGCTCCTACATTTTTCATGTCCCTAAAGTAATGACGAGTGAAAACGAATGAAAAACACAGAAATCAGCACCTGCCATTATATACAGTGGTACCTTGGGTTAAGAACTTAATTCGTTCTGGAGGTCCATTCTTAATCTGAGGTAGCACTTTAGCCAATGGAGCCTCGCACCGCTGCCACACAATTTCTGTTCTCATCCTGAAGCAAAATTCTTAACCTGAGATACTATTTCTGGGTTAGTGGAGTCTGTAACCTGAAGCATCTGTAACCTGAAGCATCTGTAACCCGAGGTTGCACTGTACAGTGGTACCTCGGGTTACACACGCTTCAGGTTACACACTCTGCTAACCCAGAAATAGTGCTTCAGGTTAAGATCTTTGCTTCAGCATAAGAACAGAAATCGGGCTCCAGCAGCGCAGCAGCAGCAGGAGGCCCCATTAGCTAAAGTGGTGCTTCAGGTTAAGAACAGTTTCAGGTTAAGAACAGACCTCCGGAACGAATTAAGTACTTAAACTGTACAGTGGTACCTCAGGTTATCAGCTTTCCCCAGCCTGGTGACCTCCAGATGTCTTGGGCTGAAACGCACCTCATTCCTGATCATGCTGGTTGGAAATGATGGGAGTCCAACAACATCTGGAGGGCACCAGGGCTGCTGTACTAATAGTGAACATAAATATCTGTTGCGTTGGTCTTTACATAGATGGAACAGCACTGCCCATGCCCTGGAAAGTAGCAGCAGCATTGCAAGGATCCCAAAGTCTGCAAAAGTAAAACACACACACACACACACACACACTGTAGTGACCGCAAAACAGCCCTCTGAGCACTGAGTATGCCCAAGTAATTGGTGGAGGGTAGGAATGGAATGGGGCATACCAGAAGAATTCAGGCTAGCAGCCAACCAGTCATGAGAAAGAGCATTCCCTGCCCCAACATTTAGTTGCACTTCCCACTTGTTGCCTGTATTTGAAGTTGAACAGCTGTTCAAGATGCAAGAGTCCAGTGGAGTGCCATTGAAAAATCCATGCCATTGATCCTTTCCTGTGAACATTGTTTCAGATGCTTTGCTTCCTCCTTCACACATTAAAGAATGAGAGAAAAAACCTTAGGTAACCTTGTTGAGGTGTCTTCCTTGCATACCCCTAGTATTCCAGAGTTGGCATATTGCAAATCCCAAATTATTCTGCATTCAGTGATTCATACTCAATCATTTGTGAAGAGGTGTGTTAATTTGAACAAATCTGGCATGTTGTGTTTAGTTACCTAAATAATATCTCTTAAGACAAACATGCTTTTAACAGTTACGTAATTACATCAAGAATAGAAAATTGCACATCTATACAAGTCAGTATCTAGGTTTTAGGGACCAGATTGTAGAGAATTACAATACCCTACATACAAACACACTCACACTCCTTTTATTCACAGGTGGCACCAAAATAGACACAGAATCACAGTTACCTCATAACAAAGTCTTATGTGTGTGAATTCTGCTTACAGGCCCACTTCAGGTTTGGGAGTGCATTAGCAAATATTCCAC